GATTTCATTGGCCTTATCAGGCGTGATTTTAGTTCTTCAATCGAAGTTGCGAGAGTGCGACTCCGCCCTAGTTGTGTTGTACCGAGAGTATGACTGAAAGGGAACCACAACCTCTCCAGGAATATCAAACTGGTCTATAATTATGGTCATTCGCTGTTGCTTTTAACCCTGGTGGTCACTGACTCATGAATAGACTAAACAGAGCTCTACTTTAATATTCTTGTGATTTCTGAGGTCGTTTTATGCAGAAAATGAAAACACCAGCAATACTATGACATAAGAGAGTTCGAGACACTGCGATTATTCAAAGATAAATACTTAGTTGTGGCATTTTATGTACAATGAGCTTGTTCTTTGCTCCTGTCCTGAAATACATATCTATGGCTTACAACCCTATTGTCCTTGCCTAGAAGGAATTGAGGCATGTATATGAATCTATCTACTCTCTCGTCCCATCATTCAAAGTGTTAACATTAAGGTTATAGTTTGAGTCACTGGAGCCCACATACAATGGAGTTTACATCAATTGCTGTGCATTGTATTGCACACCTTTTAAAACGGCATCTTAAATCAATATGGCATCTGAGTGGTCTATTATTTTCTCAGTGGTTGCTCTGACTGCAGGCTTTACTTCAGATGAGATTGATTTGGCGACATAAATGACTGCTCTATTACTAGAGGCTGGGCCATGTGGCGATGGCACTATCCACTCCGCGAACCACTATCTACCGTCATTGGTAATTTCAACTCCATCTACCCAAGCACCAAGCAATCAACAAACTTTTAGGGGACCTCTGTGGGCTGTGACTAGACCTCGAGGCTCAAGATATGCAGCTCAGATGATCCACAGTGATTATTCTATCTATCTATCCTATGTCTACGTCGTCCTCTCAGTATTCATAATAAAAAAATACAGTCTTCAGCATTAATCTACTTAATATGCTTTCTTTATTGAGATAAATTGAAGACATGTTTAATTAAAAGGGGCCTGTGTTAGAATTGGAGAACGTGATTGGAGAATTTGATTAGAGAACATGATTGGATGCTGAGATAATAGCTTTGCCCTATAGGAGTACAGTCACTGACATCTCTTTCCTGCCTGAGAGGACAGGTCAATATCCCTTATAGGGAAATGGAATGGAATTACGAATATTCATGTTATTACTCATTTAAAAATTAGTCTGGGCATCAGTGCTGTTTTGTCATATGTGTCACATTTGGAGATGCTATCTGCGCCAGGATAAAAAATTATTCTGATAGGGTCAGGCATTACATTGAACATTTACACATTGGTATTTGCCCTAGGGGAGATATACCACAGTATAGTCATAGACATAACTGGTTAGGCGAGTACTAAGCTAGACCGTGTTTGAGATGTGCTAAAAATTGGTTGTATTTCAACATATTATAAGACACTGACGGGATTACAAATTAACCAATTAATTCTAATTGGATAATTCAGTACATCAATAAGCAGCATACAGACTGTTCACCAATTCATTCTAATACATCATCAACTCTTAATACATGTGAGTACATGAACTTGATGCACCTTTGACATTTTACACATACAGAGAAATGTTGAACCCTCTTTGGATTGTCAGGTAGTTCTGTTAGTTAATCAATCAATGTCCTCACCTTTTACAGTGAGGTTACTTTTTCTCCCGGAGGGGCTCTTGTACTGCCTGTTGTGTCTCTCCAACAAACACAATAGCAGTCTCCCGCTGAGCCAAACAAACTGCATTGCGTGAGCAGAATGCATTTGGAAATAGTTATTTCAATCCCCCCTACAGGAGAGTCTAGGTGGGATGTTGGAAATGTAGGTTGGACCAGCAGCCTTACAAAGTATTTTTTTTTATATGACTTAGTACGGCTTCACCTATAGCTGTATAGAAAGTGTTTGCAAACACAGTGTGGTATGTTTCCAACTTTATTAGTCCTGAGATTATTATGGAATTACTTAAAGCTGGAATGCTTTATGGTGAAAGCCACATCCATTTGCGATATTACAACAATAAATAAGTTACTGCAAACAAAAAACACTGTTTTTTCCCCACAGACATCATTGCACGTGCGATAGAAGAGCACAATATGTACTGCCATTTTTTTTACCATGCTGCGCGATGCTCCACAGCTCAGGAACAAAAAGTATAACAACAGTCCCAATGGGCACACACTAGTTGAATCAACGTTGTTTCCATGTAATTTCAACGAAATTAAGTTGAACCAACGTGAAATGAAGTTGAATTGACGTCTGTGCCCAGTGGGGTGGGGGTGCGGCCAGTGGCACTTTTTCCCCGTACTGCGGATTCCATCTTTAAACCTTACAGACAAATCAATAGATATGTAGCACATGGTATTTAGGCAAAGGGACATACACTTTCTGAGGGCAAGCTTAAAATGGTATGTAGGGGAGAACGGGGTTGGTTGTCACACTTTTTACTCTTGTGTGTATTTCTCAAGTTGCATGGACTCACTCTATGTGCAAATATATACTGGAGTTACTTACCAAGACGGCATTGAATGTTCCCGAGTGGCCTATTTACAGTTTGACTTAAATCGGCATGAAAATCTATGGCAAGACTTGAAAATGTCTGTCTAGCAACCAACTTGCATGATCAACAACCAACTTGACAGAATAATAAATAAAATAAAAAAGTGCAAATATTGTACAATCCAGGTATGCAAACCTCTTAGAGACTAACCTAGAAAGACTCACAACTGTAATCACTGCCAAAGGTGATTGTCAGGGGTGTGAAAACATTTTAATTTCATTTTCAATTAATTTACAAAAATGTCTAAAAACATATTTAAACTTTGTCATTATGGGATATTTTGAATTCAGTCTGTAACACAACAAAATGTGGAAAAGTCAAAGGGTATGAATGCTTTCTGTAGGCACTGTATACCAATGTGGATGATAATTCTGATTCTGATTATTATTATTAACTCCCAATTCTGCATTGTCACTCAATATTAGATGTCGAAATAGCAACCTCTAGCATGCTAGTGCTCAACCATGCCAAAAATATAATAAATGAAACAAATGTAAGCAATTTAGAAGCAGCTTTAGAAGCCTACGATCATGATTGTTGTAGTGTTTCCAAAACCAATCTATGCAAAGCATCAACAACGGTCTGCTTACTAAACAAATGTACTGTACTGTAGATTGTAATACTTATCACCATTATGCTCTGAACAAACAGAACTCAAGGCTAAAACTAAAACATTACCAAAGTATAGGCTTTAAAAAAAAATGGGGGGGGGGGGTATTTTCCTTGCCGAATTCCCTGCTGATATAATATAAAAGCTATTCATGAAATCTACAAAATGCTTTAGAGCATGTACTGTAGGGGAGCAAAGAAATCAATATTGCTATTTGGAATTTATAGAAATCACAGCCATGGAGCAAGTACCACACGAAGAGCGGAATGCTTTTAAATGTCGAGTTGCACTCACTCCCACTTTAGTCAATTTTAAACCAGTACTTGATTTGTATGGTTATCTAAAGGGCCCATGCAGTCCCCGTTGCCTTCCAAGTAAAAATTGTTCAGATATCACCATGTCTACCTGGCATTTTGCTTAGAAATGATACAAGGACTTGTAAAGCAAGGTATTATGGCTACAGTATTTGAAAGCTGTTTATCATGTAAGGTAGATTGGGGTTGGTTGTCTCACAGGTTGGTTGTATCAGTGCTTATTACACCCGATCTACACCATGCTCAAAAGGATATTCAATGTCTGCTTTTTGTTATTTATTTATTTTCATCTACCAATAGGTGCCCTTTTTTGCAAGGCATTGGAAAACCTCCCTGGTCTTTGTGGTTGAATCTGTGTTTGAAATTCACTACTCGACTGAGGGACCTTACAGATAATTGTATGTGTGGGGTACAGAGATGAGGTAGTCATTCAAAAATCATGTTAATCACTATTTTTGCACACAGAGTGAGTCCATGCAACTTATTATGTGACTTGCTAAGCACATTTTTACTCCTAAACTTATTTAGGCTTGCCATAACAAAGGGGTTGAATACTTATTGACTCAAGCTTTTCATTTGTAATTAATTTGTAAAGATTTCAAAAAACATAATTCCACTTTGACATTATGGGGTATTGTGTGTAGGCCAGTGACACAAAATCAAAATGTAATCCATTTTACATTTTGTCTGTAACACAACAAAATGTGGAAAAAGTCAAGAGGTGTGAATACTTTCTGTAGGCACTGTAAGTAGTATGGTTATGTGGAATTTGCATGATTCCCTGCTGCTGTTAGCTAATCCAGGTAATTCCTAGGCCCTCACATTTTAGAAAGAGTTGCTTCTGCTGCCCTGTATTGTAAATCAGATCAATGCATTGTCACAGCACAGGATGCTGTCCAGGCACCACTAGGCTGTGGTGTGGAGGGGTGATTCAGTTAACTTTGTGTCGTGACTTAGTCACTGGTGTAAGGTGCGATGGCGCAAAAGTAGGCCTACACAAACAAGCTGAGATTCAGCACCACATGACAGTGAACACAGCGACCATCTCAGGTGCAGCCACTCCAGTAACTCCACACTGGGAGAATCCCTGGAAAGAAATTATCCAGGGGGTTAAGGCCTAAACCTACTCTATGGATATTGTGGATGGTTTACTTTGGCTGAGGCTTAGATCAGTTAGTGGTTAAATACAAGAACAAGTAACTGGCACTTTTGGAAACTAAACTCATGGACTGTGTTTATAAACACAATTATCCATTGACATGGCAATGAAAAATTTTTGCATACTCAGCCTGTAGGCCTACAGTATTGTGTAATCTGGCACAACTACATCACATCTATAAACATACAATGCAATATAAGTGGGAGATCCCACTCACCTTGAAAAATATTAGTTCCAGTACTTATCCCCATAAATGTTACTTACCATTATGCTGAGCACCTCACTTGATGTTGTGTGCGTCATTCATCATACGTCAGGAGGAGCTTTCCCGTGACAACGAGGGATCACTTCACGGTTGTTGGCGGGTCTCCTATAGTACAGCATTTAAGGGGTGTCTGATCGCACAAGCAAGACAGAGAAGTCCGCGCACTTATAACAAGCCCACATTGAAACGTTTCGATGCTGCTATAGTGACTGAAGTGGCAGGTGCTTTGCCTGCGTTCTCTTCCAAGATTCGAACTCAGAAATTAAAGTGATCAAGTTTGTTTTAGGGATATACTAGCCACGCAGTGACTGACTATATAGTAGTTTTGCTAAATCCAACCGTTTTTTTCCTCGCTACAACTGCAACAGAAGAACTTGGAACATCAGTATTATTTTGAATTAGTAGGAGGCTACACGACAAAACGAGAAAGGTGAGTTAATAATTGTATTCATTTTATTTTGTCCCTGACCCATAACAGTTTAATGTTGGACTTGAAGATACTTCCATTAATGTGTCTAATATGTCTATTCATTTGTCTAATATGTTCATGCCTAATTTGTTTAGGCTAGTTCATGTCAAATGTCTAACAAAACTAGAAGAAAAAAAATTATCCTTTGTGAATTAGGCTAATATCTTCTGCATTTAGTTTATAATTCATATAAGCCAACATAGTTTAGACGCGCAAACTTCATGATTTGGAAAGCATCGATCATTTCATTGCTGACTCTCTTGTTTCGCAGCCCATGGCGGTATCTATGCGTTCCTGCTGGACGCTGGCTCTGAGCGCGTGCCTTGTGTTGACGGTGAGTGCGGACTGCGGGGCAGACTGCGCATATTGTATTCATCACCTACAACTTCAAAAGACAGACATCAACTCTCTCGTAAGTAGGCCTACAACTACAACACCCTTTTTGTTCCTTTTTCATGACATGAAGTTTGTATTAATAGGGGATTACTGAATGTTCGCTCTCTATTAGGCTATCTGCACGCGGGTTTCTCAGAACTTTTTTCGTAGAGCCGCTTAGATTTCCAAGAATTTGCTACTACCACACAATAGATTTCATACCAGAGATGAATGCGCATCACAATCATTCGCTGGTTTTGTGATTTGGCTACTTCCACTGTATTGATCACTTGGGAATTGAATAAATAGATGTATGATTTAATTATGACACCTACAAACTATAAGTTGATTAATTAAATTACAAAAATTATGAGAAGCAGCTGTAAAATAGATTTTGGGGCCAATACACTAACTAGAGCGAGTCAAAAACAGTGGGCAAGGACTTGTCAGGAAAAAACGACTTGAACCACAAACCACCGTTGACTAAACATTTGGCAAATTGTGTTTCTGCTGATAGCATTGATGGCTATTATTTTGTAGCCTACAAAGAAATATATTGTTTTGTAAATGCATATTTATTTGCCAAGGGAATCTCGGCATGCCTATAATTATTTTGGAAACAATGCAAGTCTGGTTTAAAAAGTTTACATTTAGGAAAATGTTGATTTAAAAACAGTATGGCTACTGTAAGTGTACAGAGCAACCTAAAGCATATGCTTAATTTTTGTTCAATTATTTGGGTCTAAATTGTGCCAAGAATGACATGCAAACTTGCATGATTTCTCAAGAGAAACCCTAAATCATTTGAATAGGAGAGTATGGACCGCCTAGTTTGACTATAGTGTACTTTCTATTTTCCACCACTAGATTGCAGTTAAGTATCAGATTTGATCACATGAATATGGCTCACTTTGACTGACTCTGTAGAAACTATTATCTGCATTATGTCATAATGTTGTTTTAAATTCACCAAAGTAGAATTATAGCAGATGGGGAATACCCTCCCCAATCGCCTCCTAAAGCTTTGCCTGAGGCAAAGGAGGGGGTTGATGGTGGTGAGAAGCAATGTCACAGACCATTAGAGATTGAGCTTTCTAGATGCTCAGGATTGATTTGCTTCTGGTAAATATACTACATGGAACGATGAAACACCCAAGGCACTGTGGTGTTTGTGTGGAGCCCCCAGCCTCCCAACTCCCACGACCAATCGCACTGTGCTGGCGGATTTAGAGTGACATTTATCACCCAACAGAGAGCACTTAACGTCTGATTGGCTGTGATCACTGGGTCTCTCTCCATCAAGCGTACTGTAGTTCTACCGCAAACCTGAGCATTGTGCTTTTCAAGTGGATAATGAGATTTATGGGTTATTGGAAAGGAGAACCACAAAGAGACAAATAGATTTCAAGGGTGGACAGTTGAAATATTGGATAGAGGAATAACCTGGTTTATCATCCTATGTGATCAATTTAAATGTAAAGAAAATAGTTTCATAACACTGATATTGCCTTATGACTTCTGATCTCAATCTCTCCCCCAGACATGTACGTTAGAGTGTGAAGGAGCTCTTAGCCCCAAGAAGTCCTGGGAGCTGTGTGAGGATGTCCTGCAGGCTAGAAATGCCGACAGTTCCAACAGAGGAAGACAAGGCTACCACAGAGACCTCCAAGCTGGACAACAACGACCCACATCAACTAGTAAAGAAGTATGGCGGCTTCATGAAACGCTACGGGGGCTTCATGAAGAAAACGGCAGAACTGTACGGTCCTGAACCCGACGATGTCGACCACGGCAGGGAGATCCTGTTCAAACGCTACGGCGGGTTCATGAAGAAGAGTGGCGAGCCAGAAGACACACTGAGTCTGCTCCGGGAACTGATGAGGAATGTGGATGGCGGCGATGGCGGGGTGGAGAAACGCTACGGAGGCTTTCTCAGGAGCGCTAGACAGAGCTCTGACTTAGAGAATGGTATCCAAGAGCTGCAGAAGCGCTACGGCGGCTTCATGAGGAGGGTGGGCAGGCCCAAGTGGAGGGAGGAGCAGAAACGCTATGGAGGCTTCCTCAACAAGCGAGCCTGGGGGGAGGAAGAGGAGGACGAGATGGAAAAGGAGCGTGTGGAGTTGGAAGATGTTCCTGACGTGGTAGAGAAGAGATACGGAGGCTTCCTGGGATACTGACCTTCCTAAATACCTACCACTGCTCAGTCATGTTCTGTTTTCTTGTCTTGCCTGCATTTTTACTGATTGGCTGTAGTAAACATACTGAAGCCTAAATGGTTATTTTAGTGGTGTGACATACTGTAACATTCACTCTCCATCTCTAAGAGACTTCCCTAAGCACTTCTATGACCTTTGATCTCTGTGTGCAGTAGGCTTTATGAGACTCATTTTCTCACATGCATACACACAAACAAACAACACACACACACACACACACATACACACACACGCACACACACATTCAGTTATTCTATGAATTGGAAAAGCACTAATCTGCTGATATGGGGACTGTTTTCATTGTAGTGACTGAGAAACCTAGATGTTCCCAAAATAAAGGCTTCTCAGGCTTATCAAACAGAAGAAATAGCCTACAGTCAGAATAAGATATTTGATAGACTGGAATACTTTTTCACACATCTTGCTTTACTGTAGTTAACAGCTGTCGATTTTCTAGATGCATCTATTTATTTCATTTTATTGAAATCATTGTAAACACCTGCTTATCTGTATGTAGAATAAATAAATTGCTCTAACTGCAGAATAATGTGTTTGTCATTAATAAAATGTCTAATTGCTCTGAATCGATGTCCAATTTTTCACTTTCTTGCCGCAATCATCCACTTAAGTGTATGCAATCATTTGAAGTATGCTACATTTCTAGCACTGCACATATCTCGTATTAGTTCTCTATAAGGTTAAAGGGATAGTGTGAGATTCTGGTAATTTTATTGTACTGCACATCACATGTACTTTGTACACAAAAAAATATCCTATAATTTTTACAGTAATTTACTGGCAGCACCATAGCCAGTAGGTTACTGTACGTGTACAGAACCTTTACTGAAGCACACATTTAGAGCATATTACTGGAACACCTGACTACAGCAACATGCTGTATTTCTAGAATTTACAGAGCATTACTGGAAGCACAGTGGTTAAACTAAACTGTTGCAGGCAGCTAGTGCCAACAATGCGCAGTATTTGTTGTATTTGACATAGGTATTTCAATAGTTTTGATACCTATTTTGTCATTTGTATTTCACTGACCTGAAGTACAATTAATGTATTTGAAAACAGTTTAATTAGAATACATGTATTTTGTTTTTTTCTAATACAAAAAACGAAACTTGCAAGTAGCCGGCTTAACTACAACAACATTCACGGTAACAATCTTTTTACTTAACAGTAAAGGTTTAAGGTACATTTATTTGGTTGTTCCAACATTTCAAATCAATTTAGTTACAATTTAAAACAAACAATTCAAACAATAAGTAATCAATCCAACTTACGCTAAACAAATCAAAAGAAAAACAAACAACAAAGAATCTAATGCATTCAATAAAAAAAACGGTAATCAGTCCATCAATTAGTTAATCAGTCAGTCAGTCATGGTTGGTCTGGTAGAGTGGTTGTTGGTGTGTTAGTGTCTTTGTGTTGGGGGAGGTGAAGCGGTAGGGGAAGTGGTGGGGTCTGGGCTGGCAGCTGCTGGATGGAGGTGGCAGTTGTGGTTGGTCGGTGCTGTGTCCAGGGTTGGTGCTGGTGTTGGTTCTGGGACTGGGAAAACCTGTGTTGGTTTTGGGGCCAGGTTGGAAATTGTGCTGGTACCAGGGCTGTAACCAGGGGTTGGTGCTGGGTCTGGGACTGGGGACCTGGGAAAAAATAGGAACTTGGAAACGGCTGCTGTGGGTGCTGTGTTGGGATCTGTAGAGGGGAGGAAAGACAGCCTGAGGAGCAAGCAGACACACAAGGGAGCCCTAGACCCAGAGGTCAATGGTGGTACTTCCCTGTGGCCTGCTTGCTCCGGGTGAAGGTGTGATCTTTGGTCCCTCATCGGCGTCTCATCTGGTGGTATTGTGCTGGGACTGGTCCTGGAAACCGGGATCTGGATTGGTGCTGGATCTGCAGAGGGGAGGAAGTACTTTGCTCGTTCCGGGTGTAGGTCTAGATATTTGGTCCTTCCTCTGCACCTCTTCTGGTGTGGTGATGAAAGGTTCCTAGTTCTGGTCTGGTTCTGTGAGAGGGATACGTTTAGAGGGAGCAGGGGGGTGGGGTGGTATGTCCATTGGCCTGGGCTGGTGTTGGAGGAGGAGCGATGCGGCAGCAAGGCTGGACACTGGAGGCTGGAGGACAGAGGGAACAAACAGGGCACAGACCCACCTAGCCACGGAGCACTCAGTTGGTAGGTGTGTTCAGTGCGAGTGCCTCCGTGGGGACAGTTCTCTGTACGAACCTTGTGCCATCTATAGATGGATTTACTAGTGGGGAGGCGACTATGAACAGCCGTCTGAGGAAAGTCCTTCTGTTCAGAGTGTGTTGTCAGGGTCATGACAATGGGTTATTGGTCGGGGGCCAGGTCTGATTATTTCATTGCAGATTTGGATGAGGGCCTCTAGCGCGTCATTTGTGTTGTTGGGTGGTTCTTGGCTGTTCACAGGTCTTGACATGCCTCCCCACTGACTGCCTGGTGGCCCCCTGTACTGACTTGGTAGTGGATTGGAGGGTGCTGGGAGGGGTAAAGGCGGTTCGGAGGGTCCGGACTGAGGCTGGCTTGCTGCTGTGCGGGATCAGGGCCAGGTAGGGCTAAGGGGGGGTGGATCTGGGTCGATAAGGAGCAGGGGGGATGAGTCAGGGGCAGTAAGGGGTATGGTAGGTGGGGGTCAAGGGCAGTTGGTGGTGGTGGGAGTGGGGAATCAGGGACAGTAAGGGGCAGGGAGGAGCGATCAGAGGAAGTAATGGCCTGGTGGGGGAAGGGGGTGGTATGGTGAGGGGTCTAGGAGGGGGAGATTGTTTCTCAGAGGGGATAGGGGGTTTTGCAGGTCGTGTTTGCTGGAGTCTGGGTTTGGGTTCTGGGGTGTTTTTCTGGTCTGGTCTCTTGTTGGTCTGTTGTTTGTCTGGTCTTTTCCGTTTGGTAATTTTTGTCCAGTTTGGGTCTTCATCATCTAAGAACTGGAGTTGTGAGGCGAGGGGGTTCTTCCGGTTGTATGGCCTCTCTCGAAACTGGCTCCCCTTTGACCAGGGGTTTGGAGGGGGTGGAGGTGGCAAGGAAGGAATTTGTTGGGGGGGCAAAGGTGGAGGAGCAGGCAGGGGTGGGGGCTATTTCTGGGACGTCTTGATGGTGGCTGCTAATGGTGGCTGCATCATGTTATGGGTATGCTTGTCATCGGCAAGGACTAGGGAGTTTTTTAGGATAAAAATAAATGGAATAGAGCTAAGCTCGGGCAAAATCCTAGAGGAAAACCTGGTTCAGTCTGTTTTACAACAGACTGGGAGAGAAATTCACCTTTCAGCAGGACAATAACCTAAAACATAAGGCCAAATATACACTGGAGTTGCTTACCAAATCAAATCAAATCAAATTTTATTTGTCACATACACGTGTTTAGCAGATGTGCTTGTGCTTCTAGCTCTGACAGTGCAGTAATATCTAAGAATTTCACAACATATATCCAATACACACAAAACTGGTAAGGAATGGGATTTAAGAATATATACATATATGGACAAGCAATGACAGAGCGGCATGGACTAAGATACAGTAGAATATTATAGAATAGAATGCAGTATATACATATGAGATGAGTAGTGCAAGATATGTAAACATTATTAAAGTGACTAGTGTTCCATTTCTTAAAGTGGCCAGTGATTTCAATAGGCAGCAGCAGCCTCTAATGTGCTAGTGATTGCTATTTAACAGTCTGATGGCCTTGAGATAGAAGCTGTTTTTCATTCTCTCGGTCCCAGCTTTGATGCACCTGTACTGACCTCGCCTTCTGGATGATAGTGGGGTGAACAGGCAGTGACTCGGGTGGTTGATGTCCTTGATGATCTTTTTGGCCTTCCTGTGACATCGGGTGTTGTATGTGTCTTGGAGGGCGGGTAGTTTTCCCCCGGTAATGCGTTCGGCAGATCGCACCACCCTCTGGAGAGCCCTGCGGTTGTGGGCGGTGCAGTTGCCGTACCAGGCGGTGATACAGCCCGACAGGATGCTCTCAATGTTGCATCTGTAAATGTTTGTGAGGGTTTTAGGTGCTAAGCCGAATTTCTTCAGCCTCCTGAGATTGAAGAGGCTCTGTTGCGCCTTCTTCACCACACTGTCTGCGTGGGTGGACCATTTCAGTTTGTCGGTGATGTGTACGCCAAGGAACTTGAAGCTTTCTACCTTCTCCACTGCGGTCCCGTCGATGTGGATACCAAGACGACATTGAATGTTCCTGAATGGCCTAGTTACAGTTTTGACTTAAAACGGCTTGAAAATCTATGGCAAGACTTGAAAATGGCTGTCTAGCAATGATCATCAACCAACTTGACAGAGATAGAATAATGTGCAAATATTGTACAATCTAGGTGTGCAAAGCTCTTAGAGATTTACCCAGAAAGACTCACAGCTTTAATCACTGCCAAAGGTGATTATAACATGTATTGAATGTGAATACTTATGTAAATTAGATGTAAAATTATGTACATTTCTGTATTTCATTTTTCAATACATTTGCAAAAATGTCTAAAAACCTGTTTTCACTTTGTCATTATGGGGGATTGTGTAATGAATACTCAGGGAGAAAAAGGTGTAGATTCACGCGCAGTGTGCGGCAGGTGTTTATTACGCCTTCGCAGAGGGCAGGAATCGTGGTCACAGGCAGGCAATGGTCATACATAGGTAGGCAAACAGGCAGGTGAAACAAAACTAGGACTGAAGGCTAAACTGGTTCTCACAAACGAGCTAGGAAAAGGCTTAGTAGAGTCAAAACTAACAATACCTCACAAGGCACAAACAGAAAGAACTGAACTAAATAACGAGCTAATGAGACCAGGTGAGTAACTAACACAGGTGAAATCAATGAACAAAAATGAAAGACAGGGCTGGTTCGACACGGTCGTGGACTGACCCGACGTTCTGCGTCGAGGCTGATGTCCAGTGGGTCTGTTCGGGGGTCGACCCAGAGGTCGGGGAGCATGAA